TCTGTGGATTACAAAGTTCATGGCTCATATTTTTTGATTACCCTTCCTCTTCCAACAGGGCATGAGAAAGAAAATGGAGTGGGCTGGGAGAGGTGAGGAGGTGTCAGGAGTCATAGACGCCCAAGCCCAAGGGCTGAGAGAGAGAGAGAGAGAGAGAGAGAGAGAGAGAGAGAGAGAGAGAGAGATGGAGGAATGGGGCTGGGGATAAAGGATACAAGGAGAGCTTCATGGATGAGAACCAGCATAAAGCCAATTCCCAGAAGGTGGAGATCAATTTTATCCCTGTGTTCCCACTTCTCCATTATTTTTGACACTAGTCACCCACACAGCATTCTCTCTCCTTGTCCCTAGGCACCCAGGGCTAGGTCACAAAGGCGTAGCGAGGAGGGGCGGAGGCGGCACTTGCCCCCGGGTGCCAAGTCCAAGGGGGCGCAAGATGAGGTGTGGAATGACATTCTGAGGTGCCACAAATATGAAAGGTGCCTGACTGAGGCGACCGGACAAGAAGGGGGAAGGGGTTTCTGCTGACATGTCGCCACTATCAACGTCTACTCACCTTGACACTGAGGGGGGATGTAACTTAGAGACTGCCCCGGGCACTCATTACCCTTGCTAAGCCTCTGCTAGAAAGACCTTACACATTCAGAGGACACGGTGCTTGGGTTCATTAATTCACTGGAACAACTTACAGAACTTAAGGAAGATGTTATACTTATGACCACCAGTTTCAGTACAGTAAAAGGATATCCATCAGGATCATCGTAAGGATTAGACGAGGTCTGAGAGGGTTCCCAGTGCATGTCACCCTCCCTTTGCTGACCAGGAAGCTCCCTGAGCCTTAGCGTGCCGTGCTTTCATTGGCCAGTTCTGCGTGACAGGCTAAACCATGCCTCCTGAGGCTAGTTGATATTGGCCTTCCAGGTGAGTCTTTTCTGGTCTGGCCAGCCCCACTCACCAACACAAATCCTTAGGTGTGGTCTGGAAGTCCCAGACCAAGGCACCTCAATAACTCCAATGGTTATTTTTCTGGAGCCAAGGACTTAGGGTAAAACTGGTCCTTTACCCCAAAGAGGGTCAGAGGGTCGGCCAGGAGAGAAGCTGAGAGCAAGTGAGCTGGTGCTGGGATCAGCTTGCCTGCTAGTGAGCACGGACTGGGGGACAGAAGGGGTGCTGGCCATGGGTTCCCCAGAAGCAGGGGCCTAGGAGCAGAGCCACTCATGAGAGCAGGGCTGTTTCCAGCCTTCAAGAGTCTCCTGGGGCTTTCCAGAAAACCCCTGGCCTGCAGGGGCCTGTAGCCTCAATGAACACCCCTCCACAGGCCTTTCAAACGTCCGTCCTGGAGCAGATGGGTGGTTCATTCATTCATTCTTCCTGTTCTTTCATCCAATAAGCATGTATGGAGGGCCTCTCTGTGATACGTGCTGAGATGCGGCCTGTTCAGGACGCACATGGCCCCGCCCACATGAGGCTCCCAGTGTCGTGGGGTGAGGCGGAACGAAGGTATGGCAGACGGAGCGCGTGCTCTGGGTGCCGCTTAAGGAGGGGCGCTAACGAGCAGTTTCTACCGGCCATCGCAGTTCCCACGGCCAGCTGTGAGAGATCACTCAGCGATTTAAAACTAATTGCCAAAGGGGCATTTTCCATAGATAGGCCCCTGGGTGTGGACTCCCATGGGTGCTAGTCACTCTGTTTCCACCTGGCCTCTGCTTGGTTTGGGCAGCCCTGACCCCAGCCTGGCACCCCTGAGGGTGGGCTCGGGGATGGAGAGAGGGAGTCACTCTCGGAGCTGGAGAAGCACCTGGAGAGTCCCTCGAGTCCAGTCGGCAGTGGACAGAAACGACTCAACGTCTTCCCCTGAGCCAGACTCAAGGGCTGCGTGCTGGAGCCCACGGCTGGGAGGAGAGCAGCCTGACGGGGAGACATAACAAAGGCAGCTGGGGTTGGGGAAGGCTCCCCAGGGGCGGCGGGTGTGGCTGAGCCCTCCCCAGGGGCAGCAGGCACGGCCTTCACTGTGAGGCCATGTGGATCATCACAGAGAAGGGCTGGCACGCGGCAGACCACCTCCCTCGGCCCAGGCTCAGGATGTTTCCAGCTAGCCCACCTTTTGGTTTCACACAAGCATTTAGTGCCCACCCTGGGTATCCCCTGTGAGAAAACAGCCAGGTCTGGGACAGCCAGGGGACCCCAACTCAATCAGAAAGCACAGGTCCTGGCTTCTACACAGGCTAATCAGAGAGTGGACAGCCAAGTCACCCAGGAACAGGCTCGGCAGTAATTAAACAACTGGCCTGTCTGGGGCTTTCCAGAGCCCAGCCTCCTCTATGCAAACCTTGGGCTCCGCAGCATGGAGCCTCTCTGGTTTTCCTCCTGCTTTCCAAGCAATACCTCCTTTATCTCCTCCACCAGCTCTTCTTCCTCCTCCGGACGGTGGGTCTTCCCCAGGCTCAGTCCTGCCCACCTCACCCACCCTCCCGGTGCACCTTCCCCTCTGTGCGGGTGCAGACGCCTCCTGAGCCTCCATAGCCAGCCAGGGGCTTCAGCCTCACTGTCCTGCTGCCGGTGGCTGAGACACATCAGGTCACCTGTCTGGGTCTCCATCTGCCAAGCTGTAAAATGCAAATAATCACAGGGCTATGGTGTGCCTGGCTCTGGGGCTGGCACAGAGCCGGAGTGGAGACCCAGTTCACAGAAGGGAACCCCCATGCTCCCTTAACTGGCCCCAGAGAAAACTCTGTGAATAAATGGTGCTGAGCTCAAGTGAGTGGAGCCACCAGCCTCCTCGCTCACATAATTAAAAGGCCATCTGTGTCTGCAGGGTTAAGGCGGTGGCAGAGGTGCCACTCCTCCCCAGGGATGTGTGTGCTTGTGAGCCACGCTGATGCTGGAGCAGACAGAGCAGCGAGGGCCTCTGGAGGTGGACACTTGGCCCAGGAGCCAGGGCTCGGGCCCCTTGGGGTGGGAGCCAGGCCACAGCTGCTTGCACAAGCCTCAGGGCCCTTCTGCTCAACTCACTCGAGGTAACATTCTAAATCTGATAATGTCCAGTAAAGGAGTCCCTGTGTGGTACAAACAGTTTAGCACTTGACTGCTAACTGAAAGGTTGGAGGTTCAAGTCTACCCAGAGGTGCCTCAGAAGAAAGGCCTGGAAATCTACTTCTGAAAAATCATCCATTGAAAACCCAATGGATCACTGTTCTACTCGGACACACATGGGTCACCACGAGTCAGATTAGACTTGATGGCAATTGGGGTGTGTGTGCGTGTATGTGTGTGTATAACGTCCACCAGCTTCTGTGTCCACTGCCACATCTCTTCCTCCTACCTAAGGGACTGGATGCACCCTGTCAGGGCTCAGGCAAGAGAAAGCCCCAGCTCTGAGGGTGGAAAAGGGACAGAACGAAAGAGAGGGGACACTCCCCCCACCAAATCCCTTGCTCCCCCTGCTGACTCCCTCCCAGGGCTAGCCAGCCACAGAGTCCCCTTCAGGCCAGTGTCCAAGCCAAGCCTGCTCCCCTCCCCACTGCACCTGCCCAAAGCCTCCGCCTGCATTCTGCCCCCGTAGTTCCCACAAATGCTTGTCTGTGGCGGTAATGTCAGGGAATATGAACTCATGAGAATCAGAAGTGCAAACAGAATCCAGGAAAACTGGCAAGGAAAGGCTGCTGCAAAATAACTGAGTGATACTGGAGAAAAAATATCTTCAGGCTAGACACCAAACTGCTAATGCAGGTTATGTCTGGAAAGTGTGATTTACAGGGGATTTTTACCTTCTAAATTATATTGTTTTATAACATTCAAACTTCTGTAATAAACATGTATTACTTTTGTAACAAGAGGGGAAAAAACCCCAAATGATACAAAAATAGTTAGGTGCCCGGTCATAAGCCAAAGACCAAGATGGTGGGAGGCCCTTCAGGAGCGGCTGCCGTGTTGAGTGTCTTGGGTCTCCCTCCTCCAGATGTAAGATGAGCCCCTTATCCCTCTGGTTGCCTCTGTCTCTTGTAAGACTCTTGGATCCTGAGTCTTGGGGCTACTTCAGGGCAGAAGGAGCCAGACCCCAGAGGGCAAGACCTTTTGACTTTTGGTCCCAGCTCTGCTCCACACCTGCTGAGTAAATCTCTCCTGTTCTTTGAGCCCAGGCTACTTATCTATAAAGAAAACCAAACTGGTGGCTGTCGAGTCGATTCTGACTCACAGCAACGCCATAGGACAGGGTAGAACTACGCCATAGGGTTTCCAAGGAGCAGCTGGTGGATTCTGACTGATGATCTTTTGGTTAGCAGCTGAGCTCTTAACCACTGCGCCACCAGGGCTCCCATCTATAAAGAAGGGCTATTAAACACCTGCCCTGTCTACCTCTGGGCCTGCTGGGAGACCAGGAACTTTGAAACTCAAGTCATAAACACTGACATCTCATGCAAACTGTAGAGTGCTGCCTACAACACCAGGCACTGTCATAATGACAAGTGCGACGGCGCTCCCCTTCTGATGGTGGCCACCCGGGACACGCCCACATTAGTGCAGCCACCACAAACACCAAGGGGCACCGGGCACTAAGTCACTTTGCTCATCAGGAACAGGGAAGCCGGGAGTCCTTCCTTGCTGAGACACAAGACAAGCTTGGGGAAGAGATGGTACAGGCCTGCCTTGGAAAGATGCATTGTTATACTTTGCAAAACAACTTCAACCAACATCACATTTCTGCAGAACTCTACAGTGTTGTTCATAGCACCCCCACCCACTAATTAGTGCTTGTTTGTGAATCTGCCCAGATGGACTCTCCCAATGTACCTCTGCACAGAGCAAGCAATCACCACACTGAAGGTCCGAGCTGCCTGCTTGGGTGCAAGTGGGGAACTGAGACCAAAAGGCAGGGACGAAGTAGTAATATGAGCCACACGGAGGTTGTGGCGGGCACGGCCTTGTGCCTGTGGCACTTCCTGGCCGGCGGATGGCCCAAACATTAGGAGCTACCCTGGGAGAGGGCACAGGGGACTTACCTCTCCCTCGGGCCCAGGTGTAGACATGACTGGTCTCAGTGCTTCTGGGCTCTCGCTCGGCTGGCTCCACTGGCATAGGTCGGAAGTGGGGATCATCAGCCCGGCCAGGGGTCTTCAGGGGCAGGATATACTTGGGGAGCCCTTTGTAGAACCAGGCACCCGACCTCTTCCAGACCTAGGAAGAGGGGAGACATCAGCTTAGAGCACAGGATGCAAGGAGCCCTCTGCACTGTGCACTGGCCAGGCCTCCCCTCTTGTTGCCTGTCCTGTCCTCCCTTCCCATGATGGGAGATGGGAGAGCAAAGAAGCTAAGAACCAAACGTGATGAGAATTCTGCCTCTGCCCTCCCTGCCATGGCTGGGATACCTTCCCAGGACTCAGGACACCGGGGAGCCAAGTTCCATGAACTTCCACACCTACTTTAAAGACAACCCCACGTTCTCTCGTCTCTCGAGAACAGAGGTTTCATTTGGGTAACGTGTGCAAAGCACTCATACAGGCCCTGGCCCATTGGAAATGCTTATTAAAACTGTCCACTGCTACCACTTTTGGTCTCTAAAACTCAGAACCCTAGAGATTGCCTAGTCAAACACCCTGCACACCCCAAGTCCCTGTCCGAGAGCTCTAGTGATGGGGATCCCCCAAGCCACAAAGC